TTTTTTTTAGAATGAACTCAGTGGGTCAATTTCTAATCATAAGCATTTCTTTGAAAAAATTTGCTCTGTAAGACAAGCCCATGGAAGTCGTAATACTTATTAAACTTGTTCTTAATTTAGCATTAATTAATTAGTTATTAAATACTCTGTGCAGCACTGATACATTAAAAGTATACCGGCTGAAGTACAGGCTATTTGCACGAGTTCATTTATAAGAAAAAATAAAACAATATTGATATAATCAAATTTTAAGGAGAAAAGCCAAGTGCGCAACAATGTTTACAAAATGTAAAATGATTTTTTTAAATCATTGCTCAAATTCAGTTTTATGTATTTTAAGCCTCATTAGCATTTTTGATGTTGAATAATGAACAATAATATAAAATTCCGATGAGAAATAATTGTATTATTTTCAATATTTAAAGTCTTAACATGTTTTAAACCTGGAGCAGGCACTTTACTAATGGTCGAGTGGGGTTATTGAGCCACCCCAATCTTTTTTATAATTATTTTTTATAGTACAAAATTTAATTCCAGTGAATAATTTAATTAAGAGAAAATATACTCACCTATTTCAAGAACAAGAAAATATTACGGAAAAAAAAGTTATCACACCCAGTCAAAACAAGTACCTAAAGATTGTAAAACGTTTGTCAAATTATGTGACAAATATTTTTTAGTTCAACGTTAAGACTGTCAAACAGGAGGATAGTGTCAGAGCCATTGGTAACAATTAAACAGTTTTGCCAGAATTACCGATTTCGTGCAACAGCTCCGGAATATAATTATGTTTTTGGGAATAACTCATAGAAATAAATCTTGGCCAAGTAATCCCTTCAAAGAGCTCTCTGTGCTTTTTTCCAAAATCATAAAAAAAGTATTTTACAAGGAAAAAATCGCAGCAGAAATAGTTTATTTGCAACTTCCCAAAATGAAAAAACAAATACACAACATAAGAGCCAGGACTAACTAACCGTACAAGTTCGAAGTATACATTCTGCTGCCTACAGCTGATGACAATAATATTACAGTGATGAATTTTTTATCTTCCTAAAATTTTTTTTTTTTCGATTATAGTTTTGTTTTTTCTCATTTTGGTTTAAAAGAAACCGTAATAAAGTAGAAGTTTAATTTTTTTTTTATGACGTAATATCGCAGATATATAAATTATATCAGTGTAAATGCATTTTTATTATGTCATTTTTGTTTTACTGTGTAAATAAATATTTTTTTTAATCTTTTATTTTTTCGATATGCCCTTGTACGTTTATCGCGCCCCCCGCGCCCCACAGTTTGATTCATTGATATATTTTTAAATAAACGGTATTCCAATCTTTGTGTAGACGTCTGTTTTTTTATTAACATCTTTCTTTTATTTTTTGAAGCTATCATTTTTATACCCGGCGTATAACACACACCCTAAATTCAGATATTATTTTTTTGTGTTAAAAGGGCGTGTTATACGCCAGATTTTACAGTAATATAAAATTGTTTTTTAAGTAAATTCCTACTTTGAATGCATGGATAGAAAGTATTTTATTAACGATTGAAAATTTGAATGATATATATATATATATATATAGATAGATAGATATATAGATATAGATAGATAGATAGATAGATAGATAGATATAGATAGATAGATAGATAGATAGATAGATAGATAGATAGAGTGAACTAATAGTAGGAACTGAAAAAAGAGCATGATTTGTCTGCATTGTTGTAACAATGCACACCCGGTTTGGTTGAAAAACAGGTTTTCGACGCAAACTTTTGTCTTTGTTTTAAAAGTTATATTGTTACAACAGAGACGAATCTAAGTTGGTGTCAAAACCGGTAATTAATTTCATTAAATGTAATTAATGAATTAATATTTGAAAAAAAAATTGCATTAACATCAAGTGTCATCCACTACAAGTTTTAAAAAATTTATTTGAATTTGATTGGATGAATAGAAAGTATTTTATTTACGATTGAAAATTTGAACAAGATAAATAAATGTATAAATAAATAGAGAGAGAGAGTAAGCTAATAGCAGGAATTGAAAAACTATTAAAATATATTGATGATGGAATAATAGGCAAAGTTCTGCAGTTTCCTATTCAAAATTAGTTTTCCCCTAATTATTACCATATTGTGTACAAATTACTTTTTCTGTTACATTCCATTAAATATTAACAATACAAATTATTATTTAAATTTCAAAATTTGAGTTACAACTTTAAATTGTATTACCTAGATATAGGTAACCGCTCTATAATTTAATACTTGACCACGGTATCCTAGTGATTATGGTTGTGAACTCGTGGCAGGTGTGTCGTGAGTTCGAGCCCTAGCGCCATTGAAGATCAACTCGTTAATCTGTTGAGGCTCAAAATCCTCTCACTGGCGTGTTGCGGTAATTTATTTTTTATATTTTTTAAAGGTTTTTGAATAAGGGTGCTTTAAATAATGTCTAATACATTTTAAAAAAACTGAGTTGTAATATTGTAAAAATAAAACTGTGCAAGTTACATTACATTACACGAGTATATATATCTTTAATAGAGAGATTTAGAAGAAAAAATTGCGTTGGATTCTTCATTTTTAAAGCATTTATTTACCAGTTGATTCGCTTACGTATTGTTCATCCTGTGTTACATCGATATCTTCCTTAAAAAAATCGCATTTATTTGAATTAATTAAGATAAAAAGTAAAGAAGGCATGATAAAAGTATACGAAAAATAAACATATTGAAGGTATTTAATTAAATTTTACCTTAGAATTTAGAGAAAGTATTTTTATTTTCTTTTAAATCGGATATCATAAAATTTAATGATTCTACGAATTTTATGCATTTCATTTCATTCGAATAAATTTAACTATGGTAACTCATGCCACGGATTCTTGATAATCTTTCGAAAGAGAATTTTAATCATATCTATTCTATCCGATGGGAAAATTCAAACATTTAAAAGAGAAGTAGCTAATTATTTTGTTTGGCACTGTGGCAACAATAATTTTTGTACTGATATATTTTTATTCAATCGATTGTTGTATGTCGATTGCTGTATTGTCGTATGTTGATTTATTATCGTCTGTGATTTTATGTTTATTGTTCTAGTAGTACCTTTAAATGTTACGTGGTTCGGTTGTGAATAAAATGATAGCAGAAAAGTTTAAAATGCTTTAATTTGGTATCGAACAACTCGTAGTAAGGAAAAATATCACAATAAATGTTATATATATATATATATATATATATATATATATATATATATATATATATATATATATATATATATATATATATATATAATTTTAGAAAATAAGTAGAAACTACATATATAAATCCAAATCTGCTTTCATAAATTCAAAATGACATGTAGACAGTAGTTTTTTCACTAATCAAAGTAATCAACCCAATTGTTATGCAATAATAACCATTCTATTGTTTTTATTTCAGTTAAAACTACTATTTGCGAGAAAGTCTAAATTAATAATTATTTTCTACCTTTAATATTTGGTTATTATTGCAGAGAAATTCCAAATTAATTATTATTTGCTAAAATAAAAATCCAGTTTTCTGTTTTAGAAATCCCGCATTATAAATACAATTTCGAATAATAATAATTCTTTTTTCAACTTATTATTAATAACGTGATTAAAATAACTATTTTCCATCTTAAAAATATAGTAATTATAAAAAGCGAAAAACAAAATAAAAGTAACAAAATCTTCTTTCAGTAATTACAGCCGGTAAAGATGAGTCAAATAAATGAGCAAGAAGTAAATTGATACTCTAGCACCCAGTGAAAGGTAAAAATAATATAAGCAAGAATGAAGATCAAAAATAAAAAATTCGAAACTACGACCCGACATCATCCATCAATTTTATCCTATAATCTTACTCTCAAAACAACAATATACGTTTCCATTTCAGTGTTTAAGTATGGGGAATTTATTTTTCTTTTCAAAACGTTACTCACAAATTTATGCTTTTCAACATTAAGCGCCTAGTAATAAATTACTGTTCATGCTGTATCTGACGCTCTTAATATCTTTGCATAAATCTCAACTCTTTCACCATTGTTTGATGACAAGTGGTGTAAGAGGTTATAATCATCTAAAGTTGAAAATGAAAAACTTTGTCGGTGGTTAACAAATATTTTTTAGCTGACACGTCCACTGGTACTTAATTAAGACTTATGTTTATTGAGTACTTACAAATGAACAATACTTAATATTACGGTCATACTTAATGTTTACCAATAATTAATGCAAGATGATTTATATATAAATTGTCTAATATTAATTGAAAAACGCAATTACCATATAGTATTTACATGATTGGGTAAATAAATCCATATTTGCGTAGTTGAATAGTAAGAAAAAAATAAACTTATAAAGCATAAATATACAGGTTTATTTAAGTCATATGAACGATTAAACTTTTTTTTAAACTTCAATTTATTTCACATAAAAGTATATAGTTACAGATTGACTATATATACGAGTGTGTGTGTGTTATAATTCGGCTTGTATTGTTAGCATTATAATCTGTACTTGGATTGTGAATTTGGCAATAAGTTACTAATTGTTTATTGATTTATCATGATCTAAGCCTTTTTAATGTATTTTTAGGTAAGTTGCCTTTTTATTTATAACGGATTTTGAACTTCTATCCATTATTTTCAGAAAACAGCAAGCAGATAAAGATTCAGATTTTATGAGCAAAGAGGGGAAAGTTGGCTAACAATAAAACTGGTTTAATTCCACTTTTTTATATACAATTAAAAGTTGTCCTCAGTTAACATTGTTTAAAATACTGCAACATCCATTGTTTCTGGTTTCCAGAATCTATGGGAATTTTTTTATTTTTTAATTCCTACAATTAGTTCACTCACCCCCTATATATATATACAGTAAAATACAATTGATTAAATTAAAAAATGAATAAATAGTAACAAGCAAAAGTAATAGTCAAACAGCATATATATAAAGGAAAGTCGTTCGTTGTGTCCCTGTAGTGCAATGGATAGCACGTTGGGATTCTCATCCCAAGTTAATGGATTCGAATTCCCTCTGGGATGGCCTAATTTTTGAGAAAGTGATTTCTTTTTTACTATAATATTTTGTTAGAATAATTAAATTTAATGAATGAATAAACAGTAATAAAAAACAAACAAAATTTGTCCAGCAATACATATAGAGAGGAAAATTGAAATTTCAAGGAAAATCTCTTTCAATTTTGTCATTTAATATTGTGGTTCTGTCTAATGTATATACACATTTACATTAATTGTAATTATTTAATAAAAAGTAACTAAAATAATATTTGTTTTTGTTGAACTAAGTAGGAATCGACTTAACTTTTTTTTACATTACTTGTGTTAATATTCACTTTTAGTATAGACATTACTAAAACCTGTATATCTATATTTATATATATGTGTGTGTGTGCTTGTGTTCTCAGGATGAAATAATTCAACTTGCATTTAATGTGTATTATTAGAATTTATGGGGACAATTAAATTTTTTTAAGAATAGTTTATATTTATATAGATAGGAAATATTAAAAAATTCTCTTCAACTTGGAAATATTCAGATAGGTATTAAAATAAAATTTTAAAATAAGACTTCAAATTTTTATTATAATTTATTTATTTCTCTGAGAATAATAATGGACTAGTGTAGTGGACTACAATAGCTCAGTGGTCAAGGTATCGGGTCATGGTAGACATGTCCTGAGTTCGAGCCCAGTACCACTAAAGACCCACCGTGTAGGAGATCGATGCACGTTAAATCTGTCGAGAGCTCAATTGCCCTTGCGTTGGTGTGGTGTGGCTGTTAGGAGAGGGGGTGCCAGCTCAGGTATCGTCCTCGTCACTTGACCATGGTTCAAAATTACGAGGTCCGTCGCCAAAAGCCCTCGAGTAGCTGAGCAGTGCGACGTTAATATTCACTCACTCACTCACTGAGAATAATAATCAATTATGTTTCTGCAAATACTATTTTGAAGTTATTTATTCAGGACGATAACAAATATGTAAAAAATACTATAAATAATGTCAGTTTCGAAAATAAATCAAATCATGCTCATAAAATCTAACATACAATGCATCAAATTGTTTTAACATTTAAGCTTTTGAATTTTTATCGTAAGTGCATACATAAATATTTTTGTTTAATTTCAATCTACTGACTTACACCATTTCCTTTTAAATCCTACATATTGTATGCTCATAATAACTTATGAGCATAAAAGCGGATAAATATTTGAATATTCTTTGTTAAACATCGAGATATAGTTAGTTTCAGTTTATGAATTCGATTGCTACTTATAGATAGTACTGAAACTTCATAGAGATTAATAGCAAACGTGAATATAATCCACTGGCTTTGTTCTCGTGAATGTCATAAATTTTCTACAACACAATACAGTAGGTATATATTTTATGTAACGTGATATATTATCTTATTTTATGTATAGGCGTGTTACTGAGATGAACATATGAAATCGCTAGGAGGTTATCAAGAAGTATAGATTTCTCGTTTCCTTCTTTGTCTTGAAACATTATACTGTGAATATTTTTCTTTATTATTCATATATTTTCTGTATTCACAAGATTTAACATTGAGGCATCATCTTTTGGAAAGAGTATTTCAAAGATAGTAATCGTATAATTTGAATATTGGCTTGTATACGTTGATAGTAAACCTTGACTCTAATTTATCAGATAGTATACAAGTTTAATTGTATGTGGTTTCTCTGTTTAATCACTAAATTGCATCTTTTAAAACTAGTTTTGATGAAATTGAGTGTCAGTGTAACTTCAATTAAAGATTATTTATGTATATACTTGTATTATTTTAAAAAGGAAGATAACATTTTTTGTAGAATAAATTACTGTTACTTATATTTTCCCACCCATCCTAAGAATTTGACCTTCACGAAATACATTCACCTTTATTCCTTCTGGAATGAAATTCCTTGGAATTTCAATGCTTTCACTTCGTATGTTTTGCCCCTCCTCCTCTTCCTAAGACCCCATAACTCTGGATCTTGGGAGGCAGAGGGAGAAAATAGACCCCAGGGGTTAATCCTAAAAGAAAGCCCGAGACTTGATCCCCATAAGCATGTCAAAATAGCGACGGTCTGATGTCCCTTCCAAACATGCGTCTTATTCAGAATTTTCTTTTTTCATTTGTTCTATTTTGAAGTATATTCTGATGTTAAAAATATTATATGACTTTTTATAAAAGAGCTGAATGCATTTTCTAATAGGTTTTATGTCAGTAATCTCAACAAAAAACATTGTTTTATATAAGTAGTGTCAGTGGCGCACACAAGGGGAGGGCCCTGGGGCTCCAGACTCCCCAAAGCCCTTCATTTTTTTCCAATTGTTTATAATTCTAAGTATATAGTACGAAAAATTAAATTAAATATTTGTTATTAATGATTAATTTATGTATTAATGCTAATTATTTATTCAACAATTAGTTCTTTACTGTGTTTTGTTCCCGAAAATCGACAAAATCAAAAGGAGCGTGATACAAGAATGGTGAACTTTCGATCACGGACCCCCCCTTCTCCCTTGAAAAATTACTGTGTGCGGTACTGAGTAGTGTTCCTTTGTTGACTTCTTTTAAATATTTTTTTTATAAAAAGAACTTCATATAATGATATTATTTGAATGGAACTCATATTGAATGAGTCATAAATGTATGTGTGCATACTTTGATATTAATTATTTTAAAAAAATCAATAATTGTAAAACGTTATTCAAAATAAATTGCATAAGTGAATAACATTCGGTTTTCATTCTTTGCACTTCATCTAATTTCATGGCAGAAATTTCATCATCTTTAATTTAACAACTTTATTTATTAGTATGAAACGCATCCGAATGTATTACCGTATAATCCAGTGTAAAACTCGCACTTTTAACCCTCTAACCGGATAGCACGGAAAATTCCGTCAGTGTAAAGATGCTTCGAAAATGGACTGCACGGATTTTTCTGCCTTCAAGTAACGTTTTCAAAAGCGGATTAGCCACACTTTTCTGAAATCCTTTCCCCCTTTTAAGGTTTAACATCTTGAAAGATAATGAGGGACGGAGGAAGCAACACAGCAAGAGTTTTATGGCTCGCAGGGAACCCCGTGTTTTGACCCTGGGGCAATGTAAAAAATCGGGGAGAAATTTCTTTAGACCTCAGGAAGTGTTTACTTGTTACCTCGTATTTTAAAAGTTTCCAAAAGTCCCAACGCATAAGTAAAATATGTTACAATTCCCTTTTGTTTTCATATTAATTTGAAACTGTAACAAGTTGGGGCGTGTAAGGACAATCTGCTATTTTATATAGTTAGACAAATTATATCTTTTTTTGAAGTATATTCTTTCGCTTCATTTTTCTTATCGTAATCAATGCTTTCAGTTTTTGAAACATGATTATTTTATTATAAGATACCGAAAAAATTAATAAAACACCAAACTCTTTAAAATTTGAAACCTTTTCAATTTTCCAACCACTAAAAATGAATAAATTTAAACTTCATCAAATCATTTGAAACATTTTCTTACACTTTGATAAAAATAATAACGAAAAAAAAACTAATTAAGATTTATTAGTTTTTTTTTAGATTTCAAAGCCCAAGTGTTCAGGGAAGTTTAAGTACAGTGTGCCTGGTTATATATTGTTAAAATACACCGAATTATATTTGAATTTTAAGTGCTTGAACTTCAGTTTACATCAAAGACAACATGAATGAAGATTTTCACACATTTTTCTATAACTTGAATGTTTGAATAAATGGTAATCAAAAATATACGGAAACATTTACAGTAGACATTTATGCATATAAATAAACATAAAAATCAATTTTAAATTCGAGCTATTGAAAAACATTCGAATTATATATTGTTCAAAAATATCTATTTATACAAAATACCTCAACATTTATCTTTTTTAAAGGTTAACTGAATAAGTAATTAAAATCTGGACCTTATAAAGCTTCTATCTTCGACCTTATAAAGCTAGAAATTTTATGTTAGAAATTCCATTTGAAATTTCGAAAAAAAAATGCATCGCGCAGTTAAAAATTATCTAACATAAGTTTTAGCATTTGTTTGAGTATAATATAAATTTCAAATTTTATTATATAGCTTCTTTGGTATCTTTTAATATATTTCGAAGATTTCATACAATTCAGTTGAAAACCGCATGCTAAGAGCAAAAATATACTAAAAAAAATTGATGAATATACAATTACAATAAATTCTTACATAGAAGCAAAACTCAGAAGCTAAAGCGTAGGAATAAAAAATTTTGAGTATATCTGAAGTAGTTTTCGAAATATTTATTTTAAAGTTCAGAAAATTTGTGTACGTTATGTTATACTTAATATTAATTAAATGGTTAAAATAATGTGTTAATATTAGTCATGTAATCGTTTGATGACACATTCATATACTAATAAAAATTATCATGGTCATTGATGCGAATGTCAAGAATTTTATGTAATTTTAAATTCAGACATTAAGATATTGATGTAGAAAATATAAAACGACCATCTAAAATACATGAAAAATGCAGTCTGCTATAAAATGATCTTGACAAACAAAATCCGGCATTTTCACTTACTATGGCAGAGCCGGCTTAGTCAGGGGCGATCTTTAAAAACAGAGAGAGAACCGCGGTTTTGATGGATGCCGCTCTAGCTTTTAAAGCTCCTAGGAAAAATTATATGTATATAAATTACAAATGCAAAAATAAATCGTGTAATTTTCCATACATTTTTATAACAACGAATTGTGGAATTGGCTTCCAATACATTGTTGTGTTTGACAATATCTAAGGTAACCAACCCTACTTTAGATAGATTTGTACTACTTTTTCGTAACCGTATTCCTTTTAAAATTAATTCGTGCAGCCGAAATACACCTTTTGTACCCTTAAAAAATTATGTAAACTATAACGGTTAATTTTAATTTATTCAACTTGTGAAATGTTCAGAATTAACCATTTCCGTCTAAACAGTTTACATGGGAAAAAAAAGTTTGGACTCCCTCCTTCATTAGGGATTTATATA